TAGGAGAATACTTAGGGGGTGGGAAATGAAGGAAATCAATTCCATCTAAAAAATAACTCCAGGAGAAAATCGAAGGAATTCAGAAAAGAGTCCCAGGAGCGGTTGCCAAACAAATTTTGAGGAGAAATTTAATCAATTTGTGAGAAGAACTGCAAATTAATTCTTAGGAATCTTTCAATGTGAGTGTTTGCAGGTGTTTGTGCACAATATTTTTTCTTCTTTTCGGCGTACCAATTTACTTTTAGTCAGCCTTTAATTGACTTATTCTGTATTCATTCATGTGCTTTCGTCACACTTAGAAATTATTACCGACTACGGTAATTTATACCAAACTTTCAACAGCGGCACTGTTTGGTAAAACCAGGCATTTTAATTCATTCGTTTTATAGCTTCAATAAAAGAAAAACGTCACGACAATGGCAAGGCTCGATTATTTCAACAATACTGACAGTTGATTCTCTTAGAAATTTTGACAGATAAAATGAGGGTTTCGTGGATTTTTCTATGTTTCGAGGGGTGCATCGATTAGCTTGGGACCGAAGATAGTACCTGAGCTGAGCCAAAAAGTTCAGCACGTTTCTTCGGGACCTACTAGTCTTAGAGTTACCTCCATGGTAAAACTGCTGTGGCCAATTCAATTTATTTTAATCACTGAGCCAAAAACTATCTGAGTCGGCTGTTTAAAGGGCGAACACGAAATTATTGCGACACATTCAACAGGGCATAACTTTTTTACCATTGGGTAAAAATCAACCAAATTTTGGACACTTTCTCATTGATGTGTATTGTGTACATGCTGTCAAACTCGAAGTCGTGTTTTTCGATTCAACGAAAATGGAGGTGAACCAACGCGAGTCGAGAGAACAAATTCTTTCCAAACACCTGGAATTTCCTGACCTGTCGCACCGGCAGTTGGGAAAAATGTTGAACATTCACCATTCAACCGTCTCCAGAGTGTTGAAGCGGTTCCAGGAGCGGTTGACGTTGGACCACGGCAAAGGAGCTGGAAGAAAACCGGGACCGGAGAACAAAAAGACGGAGGGAAAGGTGAAGCGGATGATTAAAGCAAATCCCAACGTCTCAAGCCGTGATTTGGCTAAAAAAGATCGGCATGTCGCAGAGCTACGTCCAGAATGCAAAGAAGAGAGCTGGACTACATACATACAAGGTACAGAACTTCCCAAACCGCGATGAGCGGCAACAATCGACGGCTAAAACTCGGGCACGGAAGCTCTACGAGAAGATGCTGACAAAATATGGCTGCTGTGTGATGGACGACGAAACGTATATAAAAGCCGATTTTAATCAAATTCCGGGGTTGGAGTTTTTCACCGGCAATAGCAAGTTCGATGTGGACGACAAATTTAAGAAGAAGAAAATGTCAAAGTTCGCCTCCAAATATCTCATTTGGCAGGCCATCTGCTCTTGTGGACTGAGGAGTGAGCCTTTCGTGACAAAGGGCACAGTAAATGGCGAGATCTACAAATCTGAGTGCCTCGAGAAGTGCCTTTTGCCGTTCTTGCAGCAGCATGACGAAGCTCCGCTATTTTGGCCAGATTTGGCATCATGCCACTATTTTAAAAGTGTCCTGGAGTAGTATGAGGCCAATTCTGTCCATTTTGTTCCAAAGGACATGAATCCGCCAAACTGTCCGGAGCTGCGCCCGGTGGAGCAGTACTGGGCAATAATGAAGCGGGAACTTCGGAAGAGCAAGAAGACAGTCAAAGACGAGAAGGACATGTTAAAAAAATGGAAAAAAAAAACTGAGAAACTGGTACCGGATGACACTGTAAAGACTTTGATGGAGGGCATCAAGCGAAAATGCGTTCAATTTTACTCTCAAGGCTCCATCGATTAACTTTTCTTTTGATTTTCGAAGTAAATATATGTATAAAACTACCCTAAAATTTTGGTTTGATTCTAAACATTATAAGAAAATTGGCATGACATTTTCGGTGTCGCAATAATTTCGTGTTCGCCCTTTAAATCGTTAGCATTCGGATTTTACGCATTCAATCTGGTTCTCCCTCAGTAGAGAAGATTGTTTGGCTGCCTTTCAGTTTATCCTTCTTTTCTTCTACTGCTGTCAGTTCTGAGTCGACCTGGAGTTGAAAGAATTTCCACACGTTCGGCACTCTGATAGTAGGTGAGGATGGCTAGTTTGATTTTGTGGTGCTCGCGCGAGTGAATGATTTTCCCCATTCTTGCTCGACACAAAAGATTCTTCCTAAATTCCGCCTCTAACAGGACATTGATTGTAGTGAAACACTTTGACAGATCATTTCGTGGATACAAATAAAAAAAAATCGATGGTACACAACTACACTAGCAAGTTTGATTACTGACAACTTCCGGTGAGAAGTTAATTCCCGGATTTTTTTCCGGCCACAGTACTCACGATCCACTAGTGTTCACTAATTTGCCATAAATCGTGCCAAAACGAAAACTTTATGCACGGATTTGGACCTGTTTCATATAACCGGAAGGTATATGCCGGTCACAAATGCCTTGCCAAATTAATCATATCGTCCGGTCATTTTTCACAGAGATGGCGCTGATCCGCTGGTAGAAAGTGATAAAAATCCCCATATAGAAATTGAGAGAAGTAGGAATAATTCGCTTTCGGTGCATATTCAGGTCAAAAAAAGAGTGAACGACAACCTAAACAAATTAGTCAGGGACTTTGTCGTTCAGTTTTTTTCCCGGAAATTATTGTTCAACAATCTATGATTGAATAAATATGATTTTTCCCATACAATTTTATCTGCTTTACTAGCAATCCAAGAGAGCCAAAAAATTCAAATTTGAGAGAGACAATTTGCACTCACGAGCTCAATCTTTCAACATGCCATGTATTTTGATGACACTCGATTTGTGATTTCCTTTTCACAGATTACAAAATAGAGTACCTGACACTTCAAAACCTGTCTGGTACCTCTATATATGCATTTAGATTAAAATTCAAAGTCCCTCCTTTTTTACATATTCTGCACAAAAGATACTTTTTCTCCCACCACATTCATAAAAATCGGCGGTAAATTCTGTGAGGAATGAGCTATTTTGTGTGCAGAATGTGTAAAAAAGGAAGGACTTCGAACGTTAATCTAAATGCATATATAGAGGTACCAGATATGTTTTGCACTGCAGTGTCCTCTATGAACAATTGACGGAAAAAAATATTGTGCGTAGTTTCCGATAGATGTCACCGCAAACAACAGCAGTGACATCTGATGGAACATGAATGCAGAAGCTTGACAAAATGATTAATTAATCATTTTGTCAAGCTTCTGCATTCATGTTCCATCAGATGTCACTGCTGTTCTTAATGGTGACATCTATAAGAAATTACGCATACACAGTTCTGTTTATTGTTAACAGAGGGCGGTGCGGTCAAAACATGTATGCTACCCGATATGGTACCTTTATTTATGCATTTAGATTGACATCCGAAGTACCTAATTTTTTACATATTCTGCACAGAAATACATCTGAAGTCCGTACTTTTTTATTTCTGCTCAGGATTTCCTCCCGCTTTTATAAATGGGGCGGAGCATATAGGATTTCGGATGTTAATCTAAATGCATATATAGAGGTATCAGACATGTTTTGCAGTGTCAGGTACTGTATTTCTGACTTCTTTAGGTGGTCGCTCATTTTTTTTTACCTGAATATGCACCGAAATTGAATTATTCCCAATATGGGGATTTTCATCACTTTCTACTAGTGGAACAGTGCCATCTGTGTGGAAAAAAGCCTCACGATATGATTCATATGATTACATACGCAAATCACGAATAAACACGTTGGAATTGATTAAAGGAAAACTTGCCATAAACAATAGTAATAGCTCAATTTTAGTAAACAAACCAACAGTTCTCGATTACTTTTTCGAAGGGACGTATCAGCTTTTGTAAACAATGCATTTGATCGTCGATTTGACGTAGCTGGTAGCTCGCCCACGCCCACGTTAAGTATGTCCAATTTTGTAAATCGTTAACTTTACGCATGACGTCATAAAAACATAATTAGTTAAAGTAGTTTTAGTTTGAACAACCTGAAAATTTCACAGATGATTTTAATTTTTTGCTAGATTATAAATGGCTGAATTTTGGTTCAAGAAACAATGACTGACAAATATTATACAAAGTTTCATGTAAATTAGAGAAGCTCAAGCCTGATCGATTCGTCATTTGACGTGGAACTGCTCGAATGTTCCCTGACCCAAAGTAACCCGTCAACGAGCTTCAATACTATTTTTCATTCAGTTTTTCCCTAAGCTTGTTACATCAAACCAACACTTGCCAATTTCCTTCATATTTCCGATCAAATGATCACACTTAGAAATAACTAATTTTACACGTGATGAAAATCCATCTTTGAACCAAAAAATGAGACGTAAACAAACATGTCATGTAATATTAAGTGCTCTGAGACTGAAAAGTTCGTTACTCGACGAAAAGTACGTTTGATTAAGCTTTATTTCGCGTCTGTTATGACTCAAATCTATGTCTAAATTGACGCTCGTATATGTCACTCTCAGAGCACCTACATTTACATGATTTTTTCTAAGTGTAATCCCTCCCACCAGCACCCATGGGCAAACATCCAATCTCTCCCGTTGATTTCTGCGATCCAAACTTTCCATTTCTAATTCGGCGAAAACTACCCCTCATTATTGACATAACAACCCACAATTGGCCAACTTTTCACCACCCACCACGTCAAACGGGCTGAATATGCTGTCTCATTAATCATGAATTTGTTTGTTTTTTTTTTTTTCCTATGCGCTCGGCACCCATTCCGCGAAGCGTCGTCTATTTATTTATCATTAGCCAACGGCATTGGGCGAGCAAAACTTCTTCCTTGCCTATCGGATAAACACACAGACACACAAACCAGTAGCGAGCATAGCGATCGTAATTATTACCACAGACATTTGTATCAACTAGCTAACGTTGGTCATTTTTTTCTTCTCTTCTTCTTCTTCTTTGTTATTGTAGGATCGACACGTGAAAAAGAACGGCGATGGTCAACCGCTAGTGGACTCGTCCCAGGACTACATCCTGCTGCTCGGCTACGAGAACCAAACGCACACGGTGCTGCGATTCAGGCGGAAGTTGGACACCTGTGACGTGGCGCACGATGTGCCGATAACGGTGAGTGTGCTTTCGATATCCTGTGGGAGGGCTTCGAGCATGGTGCGACGAAGGAGACGAAGAACGATTATTCCGAATGGTGGGTGGTTGTAATGCTTCGGAGGGGACCGCTAATGAGCGTGGTCTGTTAACGATTGGTACTTGGTGGTGGTTTTGCACGTCCGAGCAAGCTCATGGACTTTCTGCTTGGGGAGGGACGGTCAAATCTTTTCCAGGAAAGATTATTTGTTGGTCATTTGAAGCGATTTTGGAAGGCTGTTAGGAGCTGTATGGACTATATTCTAAACAATATCAAGCCTAAGAAACCAGCATGTGATGAACGACTGACTTTTTCTGTAGTAGCATGGCAAATGTGTCCTGCCCAGTCAACATGGGCAGTATTTACATAATTTGTAAAATGGATTAACTCGAATGGCAGTTGATTGATTCGGACGTCCCCCAAAGCTACACGTCCACTAGCCGTGCTCTTAACATTCCCAGCAGATGGTTTACTCATTAAACCAAGCTGTTCGGCTGACCAGGTGCAGCCCATCGACCTATCCCACCAAAGCGTACCAATTATCGATACTAGTCCAAGAGGCGTTGCACATTTATGCTTCTTCTACTTCTTGATCATCTGCTGCTCCTGGCTGCAAGACGTTTTCATTGACATTACACGCAAGCAATTGTGCAACAACTTCTTTTTCCTCTCAGCAGCAGCAGCAGCAGCCACCTCGAGGGCCTCGATTACGGAACGCACTGGTGCGCGCACTTGATGATGACTGTACGCTCGTAAATGGCCAATAGCAGTCTGCGCGCCGTTTCCAGCGAGCGTTGGTGTTACTCAATAATGCATGTAATTAATTTCGTTTGGACAGATTTGGGCCGATTCGTGTTCCAGAAGCAGCAAGTGCGAAGATAAACAAGCTGTATTTTCCGACACTCTCATGCATTCTTGAAATGCCTGACGCTGGCTGGGACCCGCTTATTCAATGCAGTCGGTGACGTTTTCTCGGACCCGCGTGGTTCGTTTCGAGGGCAAATCACGAGTTCGTGTAGAGGTTTGATTTTTCTCATCAACGCGGGTGCGCGTGCTAGCGAGCTCAAGTGGAGCATTATTTATGGAGCTGCTGCTCTCGGAGTTGCTCCAATTTCCACCAATGAACCACTTCTTGATTACGCCAATGTTGCCCAGAGCTTTGCTGCACCATGTGAATATCGATATATGTACGACCGGGTAATTAATGTTATGCAAAAGCGGCGAGGCGCGAAATGAGAGTCGATTGCAGCGCTGTTGCCCATGGATGTAAACCACGTTGATGTTTTTTTTTTTTTTTTTTTTTGGTTTTGTGGCTTCTCAAGGCTCATTACGGCTCACGGTTTTGGGTTCGTGATTGACCAAAAAATGACTTATCGATGATTTTTTTTTGTGAGTGTCTGAGATGTTTAAAGCAGCGTTTATAATGAGCTGCAGTGACTCGTTGAAGAGGTCTGAATATGGGAATTTTTGAATTTTTTTTTACATCTATTATGAACGCATTACGTAGGTATAGGGTTATTTTAGAAATGATCCAAGCCAATGCAATCAATCAATTATGGACCTTCGCTGGAATTATCTCGTCGTGCGCGAGTTCATTACTGAAACGATTGTCTAGAATGGTAATTGCCGCAAGGTTTGGTTTTAATTTTAGATGAATTTGAAATGTCAAATGATCATCACACATTTTTTGTTTGTTTGCACAGGCTCAATCGAATAAACTTTACAGACCCAATCTGCCAAACATACGTCTACGGCAAAATGTTCCTTACACTGTTTTAGAAATTTCGTTCAAACATAGTTTTCGTGTAGATTCCATAGATTGAGAGATAAAAATCAGAAAAGAGGCCGTTATAACTAACATTCACAAGACAACAGAGCCAATAAAAGTTTCAATTAGATTGAGAGAACATAGTTGCATTGCTTTTCAATGACTACCTATAACATATTTGCCCTCCCTGAGTGTTTTATTGCTTAAAAAAATTAACGAAAATGCCTTACTTTTTGGACGTTCAAAGTGTACTACCCCCTTAAAGGAATTGAAGAGGGAGAGGGAGAAGGAGGTTTGAAATATGATCTACGATAAAAATATTTAATTATTCCTAAAACATGAACTTATTCCTATTCAATTTGATATCAGCAGTGTAATACTACTATTATTACAAAACAAACATTTTAAAACCACACACACACACAAAATACAAACTAAACACAAGGTTTCTCAAACTTACAATCTAAGGTTAATATTCTTCAAGAAAACATATATGAGTTTCATAAACTCCAGAACACGTCCAGCCAAAACATCCCGAACTGGAACAATAGGTTGTCTAGAAAAATTCGTTGTAGGCGATTTGTCGATCGTAAATATCGCCTTCCATAGCGCCCAACTTTGCAAACGGGTCCGCCTTCTCATTGCCCGGAATCGAGCTATGAGATGGGACCCATGCAAAGGTGATTACAAAAGATCTTAAAGATAAAGCACTTAGAAGCTCTCGTATTTTCATGAGAAACTACGAGGAGTGCATCCTTCGAACTACAATTTGTATTTTTTGAACTCGATTGGCATCTCGCCGTGGCCGGTGCACCAGGTCGCGCGGGCGTCCTCGCGCGGAAGTCGGAAAACGGCATGGGAAAATACTCCTTTCCATGTGATCCTGGAACATAAATCGAACAACAATCCTGATTAGTAATGAAATTAGGGTTAGAAATACGTATTCCGATTTTTTTTTAAATTATTTTTTTCAAAACTTGTGGCCTTAGGAAAAAAAAGTCCATTTTTTCACCCTAAAAATGCTTACAAAATCGTGGATCAAAAATCCATTTTTGACAAAATCGAAAATGTGGATACGTATTTCTAAGCAGAATTTAATTCTGAACAAGAAAACCTAGGCGATATCCAAATTTGATGATAACTGGTTAGAGTTATTTCCCACGCCAGTTTGAAAAACCCCGTTTCGAGATAAACGCGTTTGAAGATAAAATTGCTGTCTCAGCGCGCCGGTACATGTCTTAGAAAATCGCTTCGTAAAGCGGTAACGAATATTCTGGCGGACTTGGAGTCTTTTCTATATTAAAGTATACTTCCCAAAAAACATTTTAAGCCAAAAAAAAAAAATGCATTTTTTTTTTGAAAAATCAAAGTGTACTCCCCCTTTAACTTAAGATTTTAACTTTAGATTTAAGACATTAATAATGTATAACGCAAAAATTAATTTGGCTCTGTTAAGTTTATTCGATTAAGCTTATACAAATAAATAAATTCAAAAAAAAAATTAGAATCCTGATTTGAGAGCACGCAATAAGCTAATATCCGATAAGCAATAAGCTTGAAATGCGAGGAAGAAGAAGATTGAACAAGTACGTGTGCTCCAAGCTGGAAACCGTATCTTTCTTTTACCTTCAGCACATCTTCAAAAATTTAATAAATGGAAAAGATTGTTTAAATACTATCGTATCAATGAAAATTAACATTTATGCAGTGAAAAAAAAAAATGTTGACAGTTAGAAGGTGACACTCACACCATTCGCCCCGGGTGTCACCGAGTCCCGGTACGCCTCAGCCTGTACGTTTATGGCTTTCTCTAAACTCCATGTTTCTTCCCTTAACTGTGTCTTCCTCTTTTTACACAGGAACGCAGAGTTCTCCCTGAAAGTGCGTCCAAAGTTTCTTCTGGCTTCTACTGGTTTTCCCTAGAAGACTCTGGCTTTTCTAGACAAATTCAATTTAAAACTTAATTAATATTTTTCGGGCAAAATAAGCTATTGTTTGTTGGGTTCTTCCTATTCTTGTCCAAGTCCAAGGCCTTTCATCCCGAGGCCACAATTAAAGTTTTTTTTTTGAAAATTTAATTCCATAATCTTTTATTTCAACCTTTGATCTAAAAATCTGTCTAGTGGTTAAAAAGGCATGATAAAAAAATAAAAAAAAATCTGATATTTCGAACAATCCTTCCACGGAAGGGGCCACCCTAATGAGCATGACCATGAGCATGATTGACCGCCCGTGAATGCTACTCCGTTATTTCCAGATAAGCTGTAATTACACAGATAACCAATAGGACGTTGCTTGGGACTAGCAATCAATAGAGGTAATCTAATTTGTAAATACTGGTAATCTAAAACTAGGAAATACCAGTGTCAGCCACGTCCGAGTGCTGGTCAAGAAAGGAATAGGTAGGAATATGTTGACGTGATACTCGTTTTAATGAAACTTGAAAACACATCTGCTCTTCTACGAGAAATCACTGGGGTGTTCGATAAAAGGGTAAGGACTGCAGCAGGATTCATTTTGGTAAACGATATGCTGAATTGATGTCCTGACGTTTCAATAGCGCAAAGAAGCTTGGGGTTGAACCCACGGGCTTCTGCTCAGTAAGCAAAATCGGTCACCACTAGGCCACCGAACGTCTTATACCACAAAACAATTAGGCAGCCCTACTTTTGCTCAATAAAACAGATGAAATTATCGTTCATAAGTAAAAAAATCTCCTTAAAACAGATCGGGTTGCTCCTTAAATGATTGATCAAAATACGTTAAAAATCTTAAAATGCTCATTAAATATTTAAAGTACGCTCCCTAAAATAGAGAAAACTGTACATTAAGCATTTGAAAATGCTCCTTAGTATGCACCGCTTTCCACCATTTTGAAGTGTAATTGTACCATATATCATCGGAAAAGCTGCTGTAGAAAGGTTAATATAATGTCCAGTAAAAATGCACAAGCGATTACTTAATGGGGAAAAAAGTGCGGTAAAGTAAAATACTTTATTCCGAGTAACACACTAATTTGTACCATAAATAATTGAAATGTTTCCTTACCAACATCACTTTTGCCAACCATAAGCTAGGAAATGGAAAACGGGGAGCTTCACAATGGAGCTAATAAATAACGTTTTCTTGATTTGTTGCTATGGACTAATTTCGTTACGCTTTACATCATATTATGAAAGAAAGACGATTTAAAGTATAACTCTATGATGTGAA